GAAGAAAGACTCTTCATTGGTTGCTCTTCCTGTTTTGACACATTCCTGAAATTTAACCACATTGTGTTTACAACAATGTCATTAGTTAGTCTGATGTCAATTTTGAATTGGGCATAGAAAACTGATTTTCCGAACTGTTAAGGACTTAGTTTCTTTTAAAACAAAACAGAAGTTGGAATAAATAAATTAAATAGCAAAATATCGAATAAAAATGAAAATTGGAGATTATAGGACCAAGGGAAACCAAGTTACAAAGTAAATTATTTAAATTTATTTTTATGTAAATACTTTCATTTTACTGAAAATGTTGCATATTTTGTAATGACCAGGAAAGTTGTAATATCTATTAAAAATATGAAAGAACTGCAGATGTTGGAAATCAGAAACAAAAACAGAAATTGCTGGAAAATCTCAGCAAGTCTGGCAGCATCTGTGGAGCGAAATCAGAGTGAAAGTTTTGGGTCCAGTGACAACTTTGATGTTGTAATATCTATACCTGTTTATTCTGATTTTGCTGATCTCAGCCAGGGGAAAAGCAGGACAATTTTTATTGATCTCAATACATTTGGGGGATGGGGAGAAGCCGGTCAGAGGTGTTGTTGTAGATTGCCATCCAACTTCATAGGCATGGATGCCAAGTAGGAACAGGATTTTATTTAGCTGTGATGGTATCTGCAGGTGCTTAACTGTCTTAACAATGCTAAGGCTCCCACAGAAACAACAGTCATGTAATGAGGGGATTAGAAGTTCAAGGAATCCCTTAAATTGCACATCACCAATACATCAACAGTGTCAAGAGAAAATTGGAAGGGAAAGTATAAAATTGTGCAAGGCAGAAAAAAAAATGCAAATATGTTTTATGTGGAACATTTTCTGTTGTATGTGTGTTAAAACTACAGAAAGAAAACCATTATTACTGTCATTTCAATATGTTCCTGCTGTAACATGTTTATTTCATATCATAGTGAGTTGGAAATTTAGGATCTCAATGGCCATGCATTGTGGTATTTTCCTTTAGATCCTCTAACAGTCTATAATGGTAAAATTACCAAATAGGAACACAGGAACAGAAGGAGGCCATTCAGTTTATTCAGCTTGCTCCACCACTCAATGAGATCATGATTGATTTTCTACCTCAATGCCACTTTCCCACATTATCTCTATATCCCTTAACAACGTTAATCATTAGAAGACTATCGAATTCTATCTTTAATGTGCTTCATGATAGAACTTCCACAGCCCTCTGGGGTTGGGGGCGCAGGAGTAGAACTCAATGATTTACCACCTGCTGAGTGAAGAAATTCCTCCTCGTCTTAATCTTAAATGGCCTACTCCTTATTCTGGGATCTTGTTCCCTGGTTCTACAGTCTCCAGCCAGGGGAAACATCCATATACAACCATCTCATCATGCTCTGTAAAGAGCTTTATAAGTTTCAATGAGATCATTGCTCATTCTTTAAACCTCTAGAGAATGCAAATCTAAAACTTCAATGTCTCTTCATAAGACAATTCCACTATCTCAAGGATTAACCTAGAGAACCTCTGATGAACTCCCTCTGTAGAATATTCCAATGAACGCAATACTCCAGGTGCATTCTCACCAAGGCTCTGTACAACTGTAGCAAGATATCTTTACCTCAGTACTCAAATCCCTTTGAAATGAATGGCAATATGCCGTCTGCCTTCCTAATTGCTTGCTCACCAGCATTCTGGCTTTTACTGACTCTCAGACAACTTTTGGACACCGACAGTTCCTAAACCACTCATCATTTAAGAAATATACTGCCGTTCTGGGTTTTTTCTACCACATGAATAATTTCACATTTATTGACATCATATCCCACCTGCCATGTTTTAGCCTATTCAGTTAGCTGGCCAAGTCTTTTCATACCGGTTGCATTTTCCTCACAATTTACATTCCCACCCAGTTTGGTGTCATCAATGAATTTGGAAATATTACAATTGGTCCTCACCTCCAAATCATTTATATAGATTGGGAACAGTTATGGACTATTACTAACCTTAGTCAACCCACTGGTAGAAGTCTGCCATCCTGAGAGTGACTCATTTATTCAACTTTTCTGTTTTCTGCCTGCTAAGCAAATCTCAATTGATTATATTTCCCCAAATCTACACACACTAATTTCATTTACTAACCTCTGGGTAGGACCTTATCAATATTATAGAATCACAGAAACTCTACCGTGTGGAAAGAGGCCATTTGGCCCATTGAGTCTGCACTGACCCAGTGAAGAGCATCCCACCCAGACCCGGGCCCTCACCCTATCCCAGTAACCCACATTTACGATGGCCAATCCACCTAACCTGCACATCTTTGGACTGTGGGAGGAAACCCTACTCAGACAGAGGGAGAATGTGGAAACTTCACACAGACAATCAACCCAAGGCTGGAATTGAAGGTGGGTCCCTGGCACCGTGAGGCAGCAGTGCTAACCACTAAGCTATCGTGCCACTCTTCCACTGAGCCACCATGCTGCCCCTTCCAAATCTTTGGATCATCTAAATACACCGCATCCACTGGTGCTTCATCGTCTATGCTACAAGTAAAATTCTCAAAAAACTCTTAACAAGTTTGTCAAACATGATTTTCCTTTCATAAATCCATGGTGACTCTGCCAAACTTGCCATTCTTTTCTAAATACCCAATTAACACATCCTATGTAATATATTCTAACATTTTCTTTACTACTAACCAAAAACAGTTCTCCACCCTCCCACTTCATCCCTTCTTAAATACTGGGGTTACACTTCCTGCCTTCTGGTCAGCAGGAACATTTTCAGGATCTATAGAATTGTGAATGATGCAATATAAATACCAGCTCTTTCCACGTCATTCTTATACTATCTGATACCTATTATAGTTAGAATAGGCACAAGTCTGTACTGATTTATTATTTTACTTTGTATTTCCATCCTCAATAAAAACATATTGAGTGTAGTTGATATTTGGGTGAAGTCTTGTATATTTGACTAAGTCCGTAATTTGATGACTAACAATGCATATCCTTAATTCTTCTACTTTATAGAATCTATTTTGAGTCAATATTATATGTTTGATTATTCTCCAAACAGTACTGGAATTTTCATACTTCAAGGCAATGAAAATAAAACCGTTAAATTTACTAAGCTCCTAATTCTTTTGTAATTCCATCGTCTAACCACAAAACAATTCCCTTATTCCACCCCTGTGTGCATCAGCTCCTTCGCTGACACTGGGTCAAAAATGTGAACATTCCTTTCAAACAGCACAGTGGATATACCTACACCATATGGACTGCAGTGGTTCAAGAAGGTGGCTTACCATTACAACCTTCTCAAGGGCAATCAGGAATGCTGGCAAGCATTTTGCTGCCCAATACTCATATTGTGCGAAAGAACAACTTTTAAAAATTCTGACCACAATATTACAGAAATTTCTAACAGTATGTGATTGCTATTTAAGCTAGCTACTTTTAGCTAGTATTATTTCATTGAGAAATTCACACATATTACAAAAATAGATGATAAAAAATATCATTTAAGACCATAATTCCAGTGCCATCCATAAAATATTTAAATTCTGTTCTTATGAGTAACAGTGCTATTTGAATCCCTGGAACTATTATTAGCCTTCATCATCACCATTATACATATAGCTTTGTGGCCCTGTCTCTGATGTTGGGCTATGTCCTGTTGGAAGGCAGTCACTTCACCACAGGGAAGAAGGCAAGTCAAAGGATGGTTTAAGTGGTCAATTAGAGCATAGTAATTTACTTGGTCTCATAATTCAGAATCCATTTTACCTATTGAACCTGTTATGCTGTTGCTTTTCCAAAGTCTAAATTAGTTCAGGCAGGTTTATCATAATAATGCTCGTATAGCTTTGATGTAACTCAATTTTGCACACCACTGCGCACTGTAAGAGACAGAGACATAATCTCCAGCTTTATCTTTTCCCTCCAAAAAGCTCAGGAATTAGAAACTGCCTACAATAACTATGCAATATTTTGGATGTCTTCTCCTTCATTGCTGTCAGTAATAAAAGGGACTTGAGCCTCTTTCAATTGTCTGATTTTCAACCAGATTTATCTTATAATACTGTAATGTTAAACATATAACATAATTATTAAGTAGGGATGTAAACAAGGCAGTAGACAATTTACAAGGCTATCTATAAACTGCAACAGTGACTACCACTGTATGTGAATAGAACTGTATCTGCAGCCCACACACATATCCTCATCATTATTTATCGGTATAACAATTTATATTAACATTGAAAGATAAATGTGAACTTCTTTACCTTGTCACAGACTAGACTATAGGGACTAGTGTCTAGACTATAGGGACCTATTTCTTGTATTGCAATAGTTTTAACTGCAACATGCAAATTCTCTTCCTTTAAGAACAACAATCTAAACTACCCAAACCCAGACTGCATGAAAATGGCTAGTGTTGCAAATAGCATATGAGTTTAGTGCATCAAGTATTGACTGGGGAAATTCAGCAGATCGAAATAGCAACAGCAACAATTCTTGAAGCTCAGAATATTATAGCAAAACATTCTAAACGATAGCCAATCCCAGTAGATCATTGTACCGGTCCTACTTCATTCATCATATCATATAATGTTAATACAGAGTCATCCTTAACAGTTTCAAGTATAAGCAATGAAAATGTATTTTCTACCTTCAATAATGTGTAAACTGAAAGTGCAAGCAATGTTAACCAAGCATTCAGCAAACACCTTCTTAGAATTTTTCACAACTCTAATGAAAGTAAAGGTTAAACACAAGATAGCAAATGGAGCACATAGAGGTAACTTGCAACTCTTATATGAAATACATTGCACATTTTGAGGACTTACAAAAAAAATCTTATTTTAGCACCTTTCTGTCTTTTCATTACTTAACATAAACATGTTGCTATGTTTCAGAGATTATTCAGTATTAATTGGAGGTTTGCTTAGCAAGATTCTACATTATGATTAATGTGTTTACCTGAGTGTGGTCGACAGCATTGATTGCGTTGATCTCCAAATAATTGAAAGAACTTTCTACCTAGGAGCAGAGGTAAATGCATAAGTTGTTAGAACTGCAGGCAACATACATCAGAACAAGAGGAAGGAATGTTAATTAAATCTGTGAAAACTAAAAACATTGGTGGAAAAGAGGTTCTAAGCTAATGGATCATTCTCGCATTAGCCAGCTACAAGATCAGCTACCTACATAACCATCTGGAGCTTTTCACTAACTGTACTAACTCCTGCTAATACTATTCAAGATTCATATTTATTTTGTGTGTAGATAACTAAACAAATGAAGGGTGAGGTCATTTGTTTATAAGCACAGCATTGCCTTATAGCAATCTAATTAAACTTGATACATGCAGAAAAAGGAGGAAGAGTGTGGAGAAACAAAAATATGACCTGATCTCCTTGAAATTAATTTACTACTTCATAACATTGGATATATTGCAAAGGAAAGAACAGTGTTGATTTTCACTGGGGGAAATTTTGGGGTGGGCAACGTAAGGGGTCCATCAATCTGAACTGATCATTCTGAAGACTGAACCATTTTAATTATAACGTTTTAATGGCTGTGTGTCCCAGGTAAGGTCAAGAGCACTGATACATCTAAATGAACAAAGAAACAAAAGACTGCCCTAGTCTTGTAACTTGCCTGCCAAAGATGCAACCTGAAGTACAGTCAATTGAGAATTCTGAAAGAGATTCCAAATTTGAACTTCGGGCAGTTAGAAAATGGGGTATCTAGCAAGCCCAATGACTGTTTAAAAATAAATATATTGTTTGAAGACAAGGTGTCATTCAATCCTATGGAAATGCAAGCTGCAACATGCATATTTCTGAAAAGCAACATATCACAGCTTAAAAACATAGAAAATACATGCAGGACTATGCTAATTTGGCCCTTCAAGCCTATACCACCGTTCCATAAGGTCATGGCTGATCCTCTAACTCAGTACCCTGTTCTTACTTCCTCCCCATACGCTTTGATCCCTTCAGCCCTAAGAACTCTAACTCCTTCATGGAGGGTTAATATATGTAAAGCAGCTATTGATTTTTCTTTATATTTTAGTAATATTAGCTTTTAGCCATTTGTTAAAGAGAGAATTTTAAACTACATTAAACTTTTGAATGAAAACTGACCTTACTTTATTGCTAGGTTAATGATAAAGTAATCACCTATTTAATAAGGGAGCTTAATTAAGATGTATTATTTGACACTGGTTCCTGATTTTTAGGAAATTGTAATGATTTATAATGGATACGTGGGCAACATTTAGTCCTGCAAAAACATCTTGGGAAAATTATCTTTTGAAAATTGTGGTTTCTGTGGAAGAATGAGTTGGTGCCAAACGGCATAGAAACAAAGACAAAATTATAATTAACGGTTTCATGCAGAGGAGTCACAATTATTATTGTTTAAGGTAATGGTTCTGAAGGAGTTAATATTGATGTTGCAGTAAACTCTGCCCAATGTGCTGATGTCACACAATCTGTGGATGGAGGCAGTTGAGATTTGTAGGAGTTCCTCAGAGGAACAGGTGTGTTCTTCACACTGTCCCCTGATGGTCCTGAGTAATTATGCATAGCAAATCAATGCAACCTGTACCCACTGCTATCATGCAATAAACTACCTTGTTAAGTAAAACAAGTGCCTTTTCTGTTCAGCATCGTCAGTTGTTTAACCTCTACCATTGATAATTAGACAGACCCTAGATAATGGCCAAAGGAGGATTGGGGCCAGTAAACTACTCAAACCCAAATACAACAATTATGTGCAACTACAGTAAAAATATTGAGATAACAAAGCAAGGGAACACTGATTGTGTCAGTTGAACTGAAATTAAGTTTGATAGTGGAAAAACCAACCTACTAACTGAAGTTATTGAAAATTTAAATTAAATTTTCCTTACAATAAGTTGTACTAAAGCTGTAGGTATAATCATGTAATGAAGAAGTACATTTACTGTTGCAAGGACAAAGTGAAATAAACATATACAAAGTGACAGCTTGTAACACAAGTGTTTAGATTCATTTCGGTTTGGTCAGTCAAACTGTAATATATTTGATCTGAGGAAGGGTCACTGGACCCAAAACACTAACTCTGATTTCTCTGCACAGATGCTGCTGGGACTGCTGAGCTTTTCCAACAATTTCTGTTTTTTGTTTTGTGATTTCCAGCATCCTCAGTTCTTTCAGTTTTTATGTAATATATGAGTCATCAACTATTATCTTTATTATGCTTTTTAAAAAAAAATCAATGAACCCTTTACTTCAACATTTGAAGAATCTCATTGAATTTTATGAACAGTTACCCATAAAGATAAATCATCCTCTTATACAGGCAAGAGCATCTTGATTCTGAAACAGATGTGGAGGTCCTTTTGGAGCTGATGAATACAAATGGGTATGTCCTGTTCACCTCAATGGGCATGAAGGTGCACAAGCAGATGATGATGGAAACCTGAAGGTGGTGGTGGACAATGTCAAAACCTAAAGAATCATGCGGAACATGGGCTCAGTGCCACAAGCATTTCAATGACCCAACTGAACAATAAATTATCCTCCACACAAACAGGTGGCTATAAACTCTGCATTTTCAGCCTAGAGTTTGGACCATGGTGTTGGGATAATTTCTGGGTCCCAAACCCAATGATCCCAACTCTGCACAGATTCAGGCCAAGCCTGACTTTGAGGAGTGGCCAGAGGTGCAGGCACCATCCCAGTGGAAGGACATAGGACTGATTCCTGAGCTGCTGCTTCGTAAGGGAGAGGTTAAAAAAAACTGTCCACATCTGCCAGGCTTTCACTAGGGCAGCCTGCACTGCGGCCGTTTAGAAATGGCAGCATGAAGAGCATTTTGCGAAGGCTGGTTCCCGTGTCTGCCTCTCACAGGCCATTGCCTACTTCTCTCATGCTGGTCATGTTTCTGTCAGTGTACGAGAGCAGTTGGTTGGTGCAGGAGAAGGGCCGATTAACTGCTCTTAACAGCCATTTGCCTCGAGCTACCCTTTTATTGAAAATGACTCGAGGTCGGGGCCTCTCCAACAAACTGCCACGTTTTGAAATATCTTCCCTGTGTTTTAGACACTGAGCTTTTGCAGGACAGATGCAACGTGTTTACGACAGTTGGTATTCTGAACAGTTAGCAATATGCATGGAAACTACTAATCTACCAATAATCATGCATATTACTATTAATATTAAGCCTTGATAATTATTGTCACTAACTATTGGTCTTTGTAGTTTATACAGTGCCTTATTGTCCAAACTGCTTTTTCTTTTGACATACAGCTTTCTGAAGCCTAGTACATCTTTCTAGTCACTTAACGACTGATTGGAAAAAGGAAAATTTTGACCAGCCTTCCTGAAGGGTTAAGGGGAGTGACTGCATAGTTAAACGAACTTCTGATAATTTAACACCCATTTCCACTTCTGAGAGGGCCAAAGGCACTCACTTGACTTGGGTAGAAGCCTCAAGACACAAACACATTGGAGTCCATTGATATGTAACTGCTGACTGAGCAAGGCATCTGCTAAGTTTGAAGAGTGAAGTGTTAAACATTGTTCTGTGAGGCCACGAGAAATAAGGCTGTTTCTCGAATCCCTGCAGCAAAGTCCGGATGCTATACAGCACTCATCCCACTCAGAAGAGCTTATTGGAACTCCCACCTCTCCCCAACTTGGTGTCAAGGAGTGGCCTTGGAAAGCTGCCAGTCTTTACCTAGCAACAGCCAGTGAATTTCGTCTCTGCCCTTTTCAGGTGAGAACTTGGCTGGTAAATGAAATTAGCGAGCTATACAGTTAAAACAGCAAGGGCTTCAAATTGATGCCATCAGGAGGGTTGCCCTGAACTCGCTCCCTGTTACAACCTCCATGAAATGGTGCTCAGCCCTCAAGCTCAGCAGGAAAGTGAACAGGATTGCTGGGCTAAAACAAAATAAAGAACTACGGATGCTGGAAATCCGAAACATAACTCATTGGACCCGAAACATTAACTCCGCTTTCTCTCCATGGATGCTGCCAGGTCTGCTGAGTTTCTCCAGCAATGTCTGTTCTTGTTTTGGTATTCCGGAGATCTTCCATCCCAGCTGATTTAGTGGAGGTCAGGAAGTCATATGATACCTCAAGTTGAAGGTGTCCTGTTAGCACTTCCACAATGTTTGAAAATTAAAAAGTCCACAGTTGCTAAATCACCATTTTAGGGAGATTGCCTTCATAAGGTCATCTGTGATCTGTTGTTGATAACTTGTACAAGGTTGAAGGCTGCTCCTAAGCTCCAAAACTGGTGATGCTGACACGCCAAGCATTTCTGTTGTGAAGTAGGGAAATAATGGATGGTAATGCATCAACAGTCCTGACCTCCAGGATAATGTTCGAGGGGAAAAAAGAACTGCGAATACTGGAAATCAGAAGCAAAAACAGCAAAACGTTTTCCAGCAAAATTTGCTAGAAAGGCTCAAGGATCACTGGACCTGAAACGTTAACTCTACTTTCTTTCCACAGACGCTGCCAGACTGGTGTTTTTCCAGTTATTTCTGTTAATGTTCTAGGGACTTGGGTTCAAATTCAACTATCGCGGCTAATGGAATTCAAATTCAATCAATCAATAAAACTTGTCTCAACAATGGTGAGCATGACGACTATCATTTTGAGAAACTAGGAATCAGATTCTCCCCCAACTATGTCCATTGTGACAAAATATCAATACATTTTCACCTTTTAGATTCTGTTGAAATTACTTATGTCACCAGCAATTTCTATTTTTTAGTGTTGAAGCTCCTATCATACAAATCAACAGGTGAATAACTAGATTATACTAGCATGTACAGTATAGTGAGTAGTATTTTTCAAACATGACCCAAATAGTTGCCAAGACATTAACTAGCTTTTCCAAATACATCACCCAAAGCAGTAATAAAACATTTTTTGAAGTATTGAAGTCAACAAAGGTATAACTTGACAGGAGCCCAGGGCCTCTCCAAGGTATAGAGCTTTTGCACGATGGCTATGGGCAAAACCCCGATCATTCAGATTGAGTACTTTTAGAGCCACATCCCTTTAAGGATTACAAAGACTGAGCTGGATTCAAAATCCACCTAGACATGTAAAGGAACTTTTATTACTGAATATCACACAACCCCAAAGGAATTGAGAGCACGCTGTTCCCAGTGTGGGAAATTTGAAAGGTTTGTGACTCAAAGAGTAAAATTGGCTCACAGTGTCAAGACTTCATCCATGAGTCTTCATCCATAGTTTCATCATGTTAAAAATTACTTAAAAAGCATTTTAAGCAAATTCACTGAGTGATTAACTCTTAATACATTAGAAATTTACACATTAAGTAGTTTTTTCCAGCCTGTCTATTCCCATTGCAACAAGGGACTATGTTCAATTTGTTAATTCATCTCTTCCTTTTTAATTTCTGATTAAGGCTGGATTTTGCTTCCCTGAAACTGACCAAAAAAAAAAATGCAGATGGTGGCTCTGAACTGAAAACGTAAATTCCCAACTGAATTCCACTGGCTGCCATTTTGACTACAATAGATACACACTCATTTTAAACATCTACCTCGATTTCGAATTTTTCTGAGTTTGAAATCTTCAGTGAAGCAGTGGGTTCCTGAATCCTGTATGAAACTTATAAGGTCAATTACTTCATGAACTTCGGGAGAAGCCTGTTGCTAATTGTGAATGTCATAAATTATCAACTAGCAAATAGTTAAGTATGTATTTAAGACATTTATTTGTTAGAGGACTCTGCCCAGAAAAGATAATTGACCATGAACTTGGCCAGCATTGTAAAAGATGCATTAGAGCACTTTTTGCAGTTGTAAAGACCATGTCTTTTTATTTTAGTGCTTTTAAAATTGTAGACTGAAATGAGAAAGAACTGTTTTAAAACCAGTATTTTAAGGATTGCTACCTACTTTGAAAAGCAAGTAATCCAACATTAATGGCAAGCATTTTGTAAGCAACTGTTGATCAAGTAGTAATTGAAGTGATTGCTGATGAATTAGAGCTGAGTAACCAATATCGATGACAGAAGACTTTTGCTTACCAACGATAGTGTGATTGGCTCTCAGGTAACTCAACAGCTTGGGGCTGGATCAAGATAGGGAGAAGATTTTTTTTGTTCCCCACTAGCACAGGAGCTGTCTCTTTGCAATCAAAATCCATTTTAAATCTGAAGAAAACCAGTTCATTTCCCACCTGTAAGCTGTAACTTCTAACTAATATGTCAGAACCCTTTTTAAAAATGAACCAGCCATCTTATCTCTTGCAAACCAGTGGAAGCATCTAAATGACTGAAAAGCAATGCTCTGACCAACATTTGAATCATAAAGGTCATCTCAACAACCCACTGAATAGAACCCACCAATATGCCTTCCAGTTTTTCTCTGCCCATCACCTAGTTTTGTTTGTGTTTCTGTGTATTTAAGGGGATTTGATAAGGGCATTCAAGTTTCAATTTGCAGTGTTTTTTTTCTATTCATTATGGGATACTGGGTGGCCAGCATTTCCTGCCCATCCCTAGTTGCCCTTGAGGAGGTGGTGGTGAGCTGCCTACTTGCTGCAGTCCAGCTGCTGTGGGTAGACTCACAATGCCATTAGGGAGGAAATTCCAGGATTTTGACCCAGCAACAGTGAAGGAATGGTGATATATATCCAAGTCAGGATGGTGAGTGGCTTGCAGGGGAAATTGAAGGTGGTGGTGTCCCCATAGATCTGGTGCCCTTGTCCTTCTAGATGGAAGTGATTGTGGGTTTGGAAGATGCTGTCTGATGATCTTTGGTGAGTTTCTGCAGTGCATCTTGTAGATAGTACACACTCTGCTATTGAGCATCAGTGGTGGAGGGAGTGGATGCTTGTGGATGTAATGCCAATAAGTGGGTTGCTTTGTCCTGGCTCCTTGATGCCATACTCGGTCAAAAGCAACCTTGATGTCAAGGGCTGTCACTCTCACCTCACCACATTTGAACCAAGGCTGTAATGAGGTCAGGAGCTGAGTGGCCCTGGCGGAACCCAAACTGGGCATCACTGAGCAGGTTATTGCTGTCAAGCAGCACCTGTTCAGCACTATTGATGATACCTTCCATCACTTTACTGATGATCGAGAGGAGACTGATGGGGCGGTAATAGATCAGGTTGGATTTGTCCTGTTTTTGTGTACAGGACACACTTGGGGAATTTTCCACATTGTCGGGTAGATACCAGTGTTGTAACTGTACTGGAACAGCTTGGCTAAGGGAGCGGCAAGTTCTGAAGCACTGGTCTTCAGTACTATTGCCAGAATGATGTCAGGGCCCATAACCTTTGCAGTGTCCAGTGTCTCCAACTGTTTCTTGATATCACATGAAACAAATCCAGTTGGTTGAAGACTAGTAACTGTAATGCTGGGGAGCACTGGAGGAGGCTGAGATGGATCATCCATTTGGCACTTCTGGCTGAAGATTGCTGCGAAAGCTTCAGCCTTATCTTTTGCACTGATGTGCTGGGCTCTTCCATCATTGAGGATGGAGATATTTGTGGAGCATCCTCCTGAAGTGAGTAATTTAGTTATCCACCACCATTCATGAGTGGATGTGGCAGGACTGTAGACCTTAGATCTGATCCATTGGATCAGTTGCAGTGTTATATGGATTATAACAGTTTAACTGCAGCCAGGGTCTAATTGCTTGTAATAAATAGTAATTCTTCTTAAGTATAGAAAATTGGTCTGTGCTTCCTATCAACCTGAGTCTGAAAATCAGATAAAATTAGGGAATTTTGTGTTCTTATTTTAAAATGTTTTTTAATGATGACTCTGAGAATAGTGGAGCTTGATTTCCAGTGCTGTATTCCGGTGAGATCTGACACAGTTGGTCCATGGCTATTATGCATTCAACAATATTTGATATCACGTATTAATGTATCAAGTCTACTCTGTGCCTTGATTTTTACATTAAAGTCTTTCCAAAGAAGGGTCCAGACCCAAAACATCAGCTTTCCTGCTCCTCTGATGCTGCTTGGCCTGCTGTGTTCATCCAACTCAACACCTTGTTATCTCAAAAGATTCCAGTGTGTTCAGCTTGAAGTTATGTTTTGTGCAATGGATCTGATTATAAATGCTTAACTGAGTTCCAGGCCCCACTAATAAATTTGACACAGCAAGGATTATTAACACAGCTGTTAAGAAAATTTATGCTTTGTTTGACCATTTTTATGGTCCGTTTTATGACCATTTTATTGTGTTATGTTTCCTTGGAGTTGTACTTGAATAATTGTTTGTTCATTCTGATAGATTTAGGAGAATTCAAAAGTAGTTAGATTCTTCAGTTGGCACTTGGATAATTGTATGTTTGATTCACAATCTTGTGAGCTTATAAAAGAAGCAAGTAGTTTTAAAGTTTAAAAAAAAATACTGTAGAAGTACTGCTGCTTCCTGCTCTCATCTGGAATTGGAAAATTTAATTTGTTTTGCTTAAAATTTTCATTCCTTTTTCACCTTCACCTTCACCTTACCCATCTTTGATTCTTCCCTTCCTTGACTTTATTGTTCCCATTTCTGGAGATAGGTTGTCCATCAATATTGATGACAAACCCACCAATTCTTTCAGTTACCTTGACTACATCCTGCTTCCTCCCTGTTTCCGTCATATCTGTTCCAATCATGCCACCTACGACTAGGGTACCTCCAACATGTCTTTCTTTTCCTTCAACTGGAAATCCTGTCCCACCACGGTCCCACCTCCATCATGGTTCTCAGCCAGGTCTGACCTGTTTCCCGCAGTTCTGCCCTCACTCCTTCCCTCTTCCTCCAAGAAAAAACAAAAGGTGACCACCTTGTGCTCCATCCCATCAGTTTACACATTCAAAGGGTTAACCTCTGCAATGTCCACCCAGTCCGGCGAGGAAGAGGGTGGGAAAGGGAGTTAAAGCCTGAGATCAGTTTAATGAATTGTGTTGCACAGCAGGCTTACCAGGCCTTATGGTGTCCTCCTGCTCTTATCATTATTATCCATCTGCTTTTGTGTCCTTGTGAGTTTAGCTCATAGCGGATCCTGGGTGACTGGGCATGGAGAATTATGTTGAGGATTATCAGATCAACAAATGGTGGAGGAGACTCGATGGGCTAAATGCCCTACTTCTGCTCCTATTTCATATGGTCTTATGCATGAAGTATGGAGGAGTCACAACAGATATTTGAAGACATGGAGGGAGTTTGGGGGATATGGAGAGAGGCATGTGGGGTGAATAAACTTGCTGTGGCCATTGACCCAATGAACAGAGACAGGTCCTTGAAATTAAGAGACTTGGCATCCACCTGCGCAATCCCCACTTTGGCCCTGTTTCAGGGTGTGTGTGTGTGTGTGTGTGTGTGTGTCAGTGGACTGATAATGTGTATTTTTATACAGAATATGTTTCCACGTGTTGGTTTTCTGTCAAGCACAAGGCCTGTCTGTCAGATTTTAAGCATCTTCACATTCATCTTGTTGGATATTTCATGACTATAGAAAGATATAACACAACAAAACCTGGCTGACCCCTCTCCCAACTGCAATAGTTTAGGGTGGCACATAAATGTGTGATGAAGACCATCTTAGAACATGTAATTGGGTCTTGCGGCATCCTGAAAGCTCTCATATGTGTTTAAAATGCACTTAAGTGAGACTGTGAGATAGGATCAAATTTGGCAATTCGAGGAAAATTCACAGGAAGACTGTTACTACTACATCAAGATGTGGCACCTCAAAATCAAGCAGTCTTCAACTTGTTGATTACCTTTGGCTGAATAGTTTAAACATTTTCAGTCAAAAGTGGAAATGATTGAAAATATTCTAAAGTGTGAAGTGAAGTCAGGAAAACAGCTTTGAGAATTATCCAGAGCTTACCTTGACTGGGAGTCGAATAGGGAACAGAAATATTCTCCATGATGTCAGGGCCTGAAATGTAAAGAAAAATAGATAATATACCACCTAACTATGATTAGGAAATATGATTAATTGAAACCAGTTTTTAATGTGCAACAATGTATCTCGTAGTCACAAAAAAATGAACAGGGAGAAAACAAAAACTGTCCCAACTAGCCTCTACAGTTGTACAGTCTAATGAATCACAATAGATATACTTTATACCTATGTAATCTTCAGGGAAATGGGAATACAAGATCAAAACCCAGGCACCTCTCCAACTCCTTCATACTTTTAAATGTTTCATATGAAACAATTGCAATCTTTTAGTCTTCAATTTTTAAAAGTATCATCCTATTTGTTCTTATAAATGCTAAGGCCCAGATTTTTGCCAGGACAGATAGTATCTCTGCTTTGGTGAAAATGTCAGAAAATGTTGGGAATCCTAAGGCCAGCTCCAGAACCCAGCATCTCTCAATTTCATACGGCAGGGATTGTGCGTGGACCATGTTTTTTTTTATTTATTCCCTTGTGGGACATAGGTGTTGCTAGCTGGCCAGCATTTATTGCCCATCCCTAGTTGCTCTTGAGAAGGTGGTAGTGAGCTGCCTTCTTGAAATGTTGCAGTCCATGTGCTGTAGGTAGACCCACAATGCTGTCAGGGAGGGAGTTCCCCAGGATTTTGACCCAGCGACATTGAAGGAACGGCTATATATTTCCAAGTCAGGAATGGTAAGTGGCTTGGAGAGGAACTTACAGGCGCTCCCATGTATCTGCTGCCCTTGTCCTTCTAGATGTTAGTGGTTGTGAGTTTGGAAGGTGCTGTCTAAGGATCTTTGAATTTCTGCAGTGTACCTTGTAGATAATACACACTGATGCTGCTGAGGAGGGGGATGCTGGAGGAAGTGGATAGATGTGGATGTGATGCCAATTAAGCAGACTGCTTTGTCCTGATAGTGTCAAGTTTCTTGAGTGTTATTGGAGCCTTACCTATCCAGAAAAGTGACAAGTATTCCATCACACTCCTGATTTGTGCCTTGATGTTGCATAGGCTTTGGAAATTCAGGTGGTGTGTAACTCGCTGCAGTATACCTAGCCACTGATTTTTATGGTGAGACCAGTTGTGTTTCTGATCATTGGTAACTCCCTAGGATGTTGATAGTGGGGAATTCAGTGATGGTAATGCCATTGAATGTCGAGGGGTGGTGCTTAGATTGTCATTTATTGGAGATGGTCATTATTTGGCATTTGTGTGGTGTGAATATTACTTGCCACTTGTCTGCCCAAGCCTGAATATTGTGCAGGTCTTATTGCATTTGAACATGGACTGCTTCAGTATCTGAGCAGTCATGAATGGTGCTGAACATTGTGCAATCATCAGCGAACATCCCCACTTCTGACCTTCTGGAGAGAAGGTTACTCATGAAGCGGCTGAAGGTGCTTGGTCCGAGGGACACTACCCTGAGAAACTCCTGCAGAGATGTCCTGATGACCACAACAACCACAACTGTTCTTCTATGTGACAGGTATGACTCCAACAGCAGAGAGTTTTCACCCTGATAGCCATTGATTCCAGTTTTGCTAGGGCTCCTTGATATCACACTTGGTTGAATGTGGCCTTGATGCAAATGGTAAACACTCTCACCTCATCTCTGGAATTCAGCCCTTTTGTCTATGTCTGAACCAAGGCTGTAATGAAGTCAGGAGCTGAGTTGTCCTGGTGGAACCCAAACTGGTTGTCATTGAGCAGGTTATTGTTAAGCAGGTACTGCTTGATAACACTGTTGATGACACATTCTATCACCTGACTGATGATTGAGTGTAGACTGATAGGGTAGTAATTGGGTTGGATTTGTCCTCCTTTTTGTGTGCAGGACATATTTGGGCAGTTTTCCACATTGTTAAGTAGATGTTCCAGTGTTGTAGCTATATTGGAACATCTTGGCTAGGTATGTGGCAAGTCTGGAGCACAAGTCTTCACTAGTGTTGCCAGAATGTTGTCAGGTCTCATGGCCTTTGTAATATCCAGTGCCTCCAATTGTTCCTTGATATCATGTGGGTGTATCGAATTGGCTGAAGATTGGTATTTGTGGTGATGTAGACCACTGGAGGAGGCTGATGGATCATTCATTTGGCACTTCTGGCTGAAAATTGTTGCAAATACTTTTGCCTCATATTTTGCACTGATGAGCTGGACCCTTCCATCATTGAGGATGGGGATATTTGTGGAGCCTCCTCCAGTGAGTCATTTAATTGTCCACCACCATTCGTAACTGGATGTGGCAGAACGCAGAGCATAGATCTGATCAGTTGGTTGTGGGATCACTTACTTCTGTCTATCACTTACTGCTTGTGCAGTTTGGCGTGAAGATGGTCCTGTCTGGTTGCTTCCAGGTTGACACTTCATTTTTAGGTATGCCTGGTACTGCACCTGTGTCTCATGAATGTCCAGTCCTGAGTTGCTAAACAAGTTTAAAGTCTGTCCCATTTAGCACAGTGATGGTGCTACACAGCACAATGCAGGGAATTCTCAATGCGAAGGTTGGACTTTGTCTCCACAAGGACGGTGCACTGGTCACTCTTATCAATGCTGTCATGGACAGATGCATCTGCAGCAGGCAGATTAGTGAGGATGAGCTTTTGCCTGCTGTAGACCCAATTTGACAGCAGTGTTCTTTAGGACCAAACCTGCTCAATCAGTAATACTGCTGCTGAGCCACTGTTGGTGGTGGACATTGAAACCCCCATCCAGAGAAATTTTACACCCTTACCACCTTCAGTTGTTGTTCAACATGGAGGAGTACTGATTCATCAGCTGAGAGAAGGCAGTACGTGGTAATCAGCAAGAGGTTTCCTGAACCATGTTTAACCTGATGCCATGAAACTTCATGGGCTCCACAGTTAATGGTAAGGACTCCCAGGGCAACACCCTTCCGAATGTATACGATTCCGCAGGACAGGATATACTGATGATGGCGATGAATGGGATAATGTATGCAAGGTGATTCTGGGAGTACAACTGTGTCAGGCTGTTGCTTGACTAGTCTGTGAAACAGCTCTACCAATTTTGGCAATAGCCCTTATATGTTAATAAGGAGAACGTTGCAGGGTCAAACACGGCTGTTTTTGCTTTCCACATTTCTGGTGCCTAGATCGGTGCTGGGTGATCTATCTAATTTCAGTTTTTTTGTTGAGACTTTGTAGTGATTGATACAACTGAGTGGCTTGCTAGACCATTTCACAGGGCAGGTGAGAGTCAACCACATTGCTATGGCTCTGGAGTCACATGTAGGCCACACCAGGTGAGAATGGCAGATTTCCTTCCCTGAAGGACATTACTGGGGGAGATGGGTTTTTCCCAACAATTAGCAGTGGTTTCATGGCCATCATTAGTTTCTTATTTTTGACTGAATTCAAATTCCACCATTTGCCATGGTGGGATTTTGAACCTGGATTCCCGGAGCATTAGCTGAGTTTCTGGGTTGATAATACAGTGATAATACCACTAGACCATCACCTCCCCATGCATGCACGGTTTATCAGAGGCAGCTGGCTATTTAAATGACCATTGCCTCCATTTAAATAGGACTTTGAAGTCCCTGGTGTCTAGATCCTAGAGAATGTGGAGAATAGATCAGGTAACAACAGACCTGTTTTCAGTGCAACTGTTTTAGATAGCCAGAGTACAACTTTGGAGAGCTAACGTACCCTTCCAGATATGATCTCAGGAGTTCTTGAGGTGGGGATCAGGTTTCCCTTTGTGGAAGAGGGGAAAGATTCAGGTATTCTTTAAGTTGGTGGTCAGATATCTTTTGGGGGAAGGTTGACGTGCCTTTAAAACTGTTAACAATGCCGAATGGTGCATAATATGTACATGAACTTCCTGAAACTGTCCAACTCGTCATGAACTGTCTAGAAATGTCAGTGCCAACGTGTCAAGATGTATCAAATTTGTTTTCATGAATGATTGCCTGTCTCAGTAGTGTAGTCTATGATATATTTTCTCCTGTGTGCATGGTACTTATGGATTCTTGTGGTTAGCTTGATAGGTGTTGGGGGAAGGGTTAGTAGATGGAAGTAGTCACCAGATCGGCACAGGGATATGAGAACCATGGGGATGAATAGGGACATTAGGATGGGGGAGTTTGCATGGGTGTATGTGAGGTGTGAAAGATTGCAAGGGATGTAAGAAAGAGGAAATTGAAAAAGAAATTGGAGGCAACATCGCAGATCCTCTTTATCCTGAGGCATTTGTTTAGCATCCTAGATCTTTCTTGAAACAGGACTGACTCCATGGGTGGAATAAACAAACCCAAAGAAGTTTAATTGGCAAATGCTAATCTTGCATTTCACGCTGTTAAAGGCCAGTCCGCATCGTTTTGTTGTCATCAGTAGGGAACATTGTGATCATGCGATACCTTTTTCTTGTCTATAGCCCTAATATAGTCAGCAATGCAAATACAATAATACTGTGCTCAATAATACTACCCATGTGCTGCTGGAAAAGATCTTGGTGAATAAAACATTTCTTTTTGCATTAATAATTGACTTGTAAAAGCAAATTAGAATAACCTAAAATATTTTTTAAAAAAATGTTTAAAGTCATTTTTTTCAGCTCTTTATCGAGTTCAACACTGGATCTTCAGCTGATAAGATGAAAATACACTAGCCTTCTCCTGCTAAAATTAAACCCAAGAATGAAGTAGCATCTCCCAATCTTGTAATTTGATTTTAAAGTAATTTCTAACAGTTACAAAACTCAGTCTCTCATGCATCAATCTGGATGCAATGCTTATCACTATTTATGTTCTAGGTGATGATGATAACTAGAATTTATATTGTGCCTTTAACATGGAAAATTGTTCAATCTATTTCACAGAAGCGTACTCACTATTCAAAGTGTCCATGTTATAACACAGCAGCTACTTAACAATTATTTTTCTTTTCAATGAATGGGAGCATGTCGTGGCTGTGTGGTTAACTTTAAGTATCATTCTGGTGAGATTATCATAGTAGCCATAAGACTATATGTAGCAGACCTCATGAAAACAGATTTGTTTAGAAAATTCCAAGTAAATTGTACTTTTATTTTTAAAAATCTAAAATCTGCAATGATGATGTTTGTAGTGATCCTACAGTGTAGTAATGAAATATAAAATCTGCAGGCAGAAAATTGCAAGTGTTGAGGAAAAAGAGTGTTTAAAAAGACTCCAATTATACATCCTCCAAAGAGGAAGAGGTCATTTTATTGGGGATGGAAGAGGGGAATTCAGGGTTCCATTGAGAAAACAAACTGACTTTCAGGGTCTGAGTCCAAACTAAAGAATGCTGATTTGAAATAGGTATGACAATAAATTTTGCCTCAACAACTTCCTACATCCTGCGAACAGAAAAAAAAAAAGCAAAGTAATGTTTGGGGTCAAAATATCCTGTACTGACAGAAAACCAGAGTGGCAGGGCATGAATTTAACTTGTGTATTTTAATGAATTACATGAATAATAACTGATCATAAATCAAATGGTTTATGGCTTTGGCTTCTTCATTGCCTCATGCAGGAGATCTTGAGTCAGTCATAAGTCATCTTCTGTGCCGTTGTTATTCCAAATCTGACACAGCCCACTCATCTAGGTCCTGCCTAAAGGGCAAGGGAGTGTAATGGTTCATGTGTGACCTTGTCACTTGTGAAATAAGCCTTTCTTCTTGCAAAGAAAAATGAGCTTCTCTCACTTTTCTAAAACAAAAGTGTATGTCTTGCAACTAAAAGAAGCTAGAAGTGGCTTACTTTCAAGGGCATACTTTTATGACCTTGATATTGACATGCACGTCTATAATGTGATGGAAATGTATGTTAATTGGGCACACTTTCAGCAAATATGTTTGTTAAGTAGTAATATTCTGTTATTGTATGTACACTGAGTGGCAAAGCTAGATTTGTTGTCAGTATGAATATTTAGGGTGATGGCTGTGCTGTTTGCTTAACCAATCTTTACTACATAAGGGAAAATCTGGGAAGGAAATGAGATCATAAATTGGAGCTGAACTTGTGTCACAGACTGTTATCAAGACACCATCACTTCCTGACCCTTATGAAATGACACAGCTCACGAAACACACTCATTTATTTGCTGCTGGCAGTGCAGTGTAGCATGCTCTTGTTACCCAGAAAAGGCAAATTGAAACATGTATTCCACCTTTCTCATTAGTGACAATGCAAGGTTTTGTAACACTGCCATATTGAAAAGGCAATATTCCATTAGTGTTATAACTTACAACAGCTTAATGACATTATCACCTCGAAATTAATGCCACAGTACACAGGTTAATTAAGATTTTAAAAAGTAGCTACACTCTTCTGGCATGGCACTCTGGTATATTTCATACTATAGAATAGAATAAAGAACAAAGAAAATTACAGCACAGGGCCAGGCCCTTTGGCCCTCCAAGCCTGCACTGACATGCTGCCCGTCCCAACCAAAACCCCCTAATCTTCCAGGAACCATATCCCTCTATTCCCATCCTATTCATGTATTTGTCAAGACGTCCTTTAAAATTCACTATCATATCTGCTTCCACTACCTCCCCCAGCAGCGAGTTCCAGGCACCCACCACCCTCTCTGTAAAAAAAACTTGCCTTGTACATCACCTTTAACCTATGCCCCCTAGTAACTGACTCTTTCACCCTGGGATAAAGCTTCTGACTGTCCACTCTGTCCATGTCCTTCATAATCTTGTAGACCTCTATCAGGTCGCCCCTCAACCTCCATCGTTCCAGCGAGAACAACCCAAGTTTCTCCAACCTCTCCTCAGAGCTAATGCACTCCATACCAGGCAACATCATGGTAAAGCTTTTCTGTACCTTCTCCAAAGCCACCACATCCTTCTGGTAGTGTGGCGACCAGAATTAAACACAATATTCCAAATGCGGCCTAAGGTTCTATAAAACTGCAATGCTATCTGCAAATTTTTAAACTCAATGCCCCGGCCGATGAAGGCAAGCATGCCATATGCCTTGTTGACTACCTTTTCCACCTGCGTTGCCACTTTCAGTGACCTGTGTACCTGTATACCCAGATCCCTCTGCCTATCAGTACTCTTAAGGATTCTGCCATTTATTGTGTATTTTCCATCTGGATTAGTCCTTCCGAAATGCATTACCTCACGTTTTTCTGGATTCAACTCCATCTGCCATCTCTCTGCCCAAGTCACCAACTGATCTATATCCTGTTGTATCCTTTGACGGTCCTCATCACTATGCGCAATTCCACCAACCTTTGTGTCATCCGCAAACTTACTAATCAGACCTGTTACATTTTCTTCCAAGTCATTTATATATATTACAAATAGCAAAGGTCCCAATACTGATCCCTGAGGAATGCCACTAGTCACAACCCTTCATTCAGAAACATACCCTTCACTGCCGTCCTATGTCTTCTATGACTGAGCCAGTTTTTTATCCACCTTGCAAGCTCACCTCTGACCTAGTATTG